GCGGTGTCGTCTCGCTTTCACTTGCACTGGGGTGACAAGGGGAGGGCCTGAAGACCCCAGCTGGATTCAACCGGCTGGGCACACATGCGTAATAAATTTCATGCTGCGCCACCACAAGTTGGAAACAATGGATTAATGCCAACATGACCTTTACCTCTCACAATGATTCTACCTATACCACAAAGGTCATTTCCTGAAGGAGTGCACAGGAGCGAAACTCCGGCAGTAAAGAGCCCAGGGGGTGGGGACGTGCAACAAGCCCCCCCCCCTTCTCTCAGCAGCCATGAGGAGCACAAGTATCTGCGCACCCCCCCCCAATAGCTAGCAATCCAAAACAGTCCAGTGGAGCCTGAGCAGTGGGTGTTACCTTCTGACACACTTCCGGTGATGTCAGGGGGTGTGGCCTATGCAGATGAGTTATGCTAATGAGTTATGCTAATGAGCTCCTGCACCTCTTTTTCTACGAAATGACCCCTGATGGAACCAATAGTTTTGTATATATACCAACACATACTTTGCATGTCAGCAGGGGTATAAAGCAATGCTCCCCCTAAGCTGTGGGTCTTGTGAGCAAAAATTCTACTTTGTGAGCTCCTGGCATTGAAGTTGTGAATGAGCTATTTGGCTGCTGTACAGATTAGTTTGCTCTGGAGCCCTCCTTCCTGAGCTGAGACAAAAATGTGTGCGCCGGAGGCTAAAGAACTGTGAGCTGGCTCACACTAGCTCAGCTTAGAGACTAATGAAGGGAATACTGGAAATAAAAATGGAAACATTTAAAGAATTGGAAATGAAATTAATCTTGAAATGGTATAGGACACCTGCTCAATTATCGTATATGATTAAGGGAATGAAATCAGAGTGTTGGCATTGTAAAAAGAATAAGGGGACATTATGCACATCTTTGGCGGGAATGTTCTAAGGTAAGGGAATTTGGGCAACTGATCCTGGAAAAGGTTGATAATTTATGTAACATTATGATTGAGCTGAACGAGAAAGTGTTATTTATGGGAATTCTGGGAAATAATAAAGTAGATAAAACCAAAAAGGATTTATTTAAAGCTATGATCCTAGCGACTCATGCGGTATTAGCGTATGGATGGAAAGATACCTTAAAATGGACTTGGGAAAGATGGAACTGGTACTTATATGAATGGATTCAATCAGATATTTTATTGATAATAAAATAGGATAAGACATGGGAAGATAAGGCGTCAGAGATAAGGAAGAAATGGTTCGGGTATATAAGATGGGCAAGGGGGGGCAATAACGATATATTGATAAAACTCCATAGAGTGTGCTCATGGTTACAGATATAATAATAAGATCCTTCTTCTGGTCGCTCGTGAAAGTGGGGAAGGGAATCATAAAGGGAGAAATTGATGTAGTTGATGTTTGGTTATGTAAACTTGATGAAAATGATTATGAATGAATATGAAATGTAAGACATCGATACAAATTTAAAAAAACAAAAAAAAAACCCCAACTAACTCAGCTTAGAGGGAACCAGGGGTCATTTCTTGCAGGAGCGCAGAGAAGCGGAGCTCCGGCAATAAAGAGCCCGGGGGCAGGCACATGCGACAAGCCCCAACCCCCTGCTCCCAGCAGCCCTCAGTCAGAGCAAGAAGCAGCCAGGTAATTTTTTTGGTAACTTGCAAAACCCCCCACCCGCCCCCCCCCCCGGTCCAAAACAGTCCAGTGGCACCTTTAAGACCAACTTTTATTCAGGTACAAGCTCTCCCTCCTCTGCGAGGACAAATCTGCACATTCCACCCCCTCCAAATCTGCACGTTCCTCTATAGTCTGAGGATTGGTTTTAATTCTGGGATATTTCCAGGCACCACCTGGAGGTTGACAACCCTACCCTCGCCCTGCCGCCCACTGATTCCCCCCGAAATGCCACTCCTGGAGACCCCCAGGAACAGCAGGAGGGGCTAACTGGAGATCTATGATGGGTAGGGAGAGTCAGCAAAGTTCCCCCTCCCGTTCTGCTGGTGCAAATTGTCATCGATATCCAATCAATGGATCCTCACACTTGAATAGGCGTGTATTGTGCAACACCTGTGTCCATGTGCTCAGGAGCAGACACACACGCATTCTTACATGGCAGTGTTTTCTGTGTGGGACTTCTGTGATGGCCAACGCAGCCCTCTCATGTGCACTGCATGCGCACGTTTGTGTAACGCAAAATGTCGTTCAATCGTCTCTCTTGCTCGTGGCGATGAATTATGAATCGCTATTACTCTGATTAATTTTTAACCCACCTGTCTTTGTCGTGATGCTATAAATTAAACAGGCCTCTCCGGTGCCGTCGTCCCAGAATCTCTGTACACCAGCATTTTACTTGCTCCTGCATCTCTGTCCTAGCCGTAGACGGCTCTGCTCTGCAGCCTCACTCCAGAATTGGGAATGTGCCAAGTTGAAGCACTTTTTTTGTGCCTTGCATCTGTGACAGATGGAACCCCTTCCTTCTGAAAGAACACCCCCTCCCACTGCAAGAACCCTACTGGTCCCCCTTGGGCACTGCTTGATCTCTCTCTCTCTCTCTCTCTGTCTCATAGGCAGGGGTCATTTCCTGCAGGAGCACACAGGAGCGAAGCTCCGGCAGTGAAGAGCCCAGGAGGCGGGCACATGCAACAAGCCCCACCTCCTGCTCCCAGCAGCCCTCAGTCAGAGCAAGAAGCAGCCAGGTAAGTTGCAGAGGCCCCCCTGGTCCAAAACAGTCCAGTGGCACCTTTAAGACCAAGGTTTATTCAGGTACAAGCTCTCCCTCCTCTGTGAGGACAGATCTGCACATTACCCCCCCCCCGCAATAGCTAGCAATCCAAAACAGTCCAATGGAGCCTGAGCGGTGGGTGTTGCCTTCTGACACACTTGCGGTGATGTCAGGGGGTGTGGCACATGCAAACTAGTTATGCTAATGAGTTATGCTAATGAGCACCTCTTTTTCTACGAAACGACCCCTGCTCCTAGGGTCAAGTCACACAATACGATTGGCCTAGATGTCAACAACTAAGAAACGAAACAAAGGTGACCCATAAATTGCCACGAGTTCTCGTACTTGAAATAAAATTGGTGGTGGAAAGGGAAGTCCAGTTGCAACCAACTTATGGCCTCCTCTGAAAGAGTTTTCATGGCAAGAAACATTCAGAGGCGGCTTGTCATTGCCTGCCTCTGCGTAGCCACCCTGGACTTCCTCAGTGACCTTCCATCCAAGTGCTAATCGGGGTTGACCCTGCTTAGAAGCAGAGATCTGACAAGGTCAGAGTAGCCTGGGACACACAACTCACCTTTAAGACCAAGTCTTATTCAGGTACAAGCTCTCCCTCCTCTGCGAGGACAAATCTGCCCATTCCACTCCCCCCCCAATAGCTAGCAATCCAAAACAGACCAGTGGCACCTTTAAGACCAAGGCTTATTCAGGTACAAGCTCTCCCTCCTCTGCGAGGACAAATCTGCCCATTCCACTCCCCCCCCAATAGCTAGCAATCCAAAACAGACCAGTGGCACCTTTAAGACCAAGGCTTATTCAGGTACAAGCTCTCCCTCCTCTGCGAGGACAAATCTGCCCATTCCACTCCCCCCCCAATAGCTAGCAATCCAAAACAGACCAGTGGCACCTTTAAGACCAAGGCTTATTCAGGTACAAGCTCTCCCTCCTCTGCGAGGACAAATCTGCCCATTCCACTCCCCCCCCAATAGCTAGCAATCCAAAACAGACCAGTGGCACCTTTAAGACCAAGGCTTATTCAGGTACAAGCTCTCCCTCCTCTGCGAGGACAAATCTGCCCATTCCACTCCCCCCCCAATAGCTAGCAATCCAAAACAGACCAGTGGCACCTTTAAGACCAAGGCTTATTCAGGTACAAGCTCTCCCTCCTCTGCGAGGACAAATCTGCCCATTCCACTCCCCCCCCAATAGCTAGCAATCCAAAACAGACCAGTGGCACCTTTAAGACCAAGGCTTATTCAGGTACAAGCTCTCCCTCCTCTGCCAGGACAGATCTGCACGTCCCCCCCCCAAATAGCTAGCAATCCAAAACAGACTTATAATCCAAAGACTTACAGAGGTGGGCTTGCCATGGCCTCCCTCCCTCTGTGTATGACCCTGGCCTTGCTTGGTGGTCTCCCATCCAAACGCTAACCAGGGCTGACCCTGCTTAACTTCTGAGGTCTGACAAGATCAGGCCAGCCTAGAGCATCCAGGTCAAGGCCAAATAAAATTATCTTCCCTGAGAATTAAAACCTGGAGTTACCAACAGAAACCGATTGACAGCAGATACAAGACAAGCCGATTATTCTTTTGCACACTGCTTCGTTAACCCTGGGGGTTCGTGGTCAGTTCAGGCAGGCAGCCGTGTTGCTCTGAAGCAACAGAACAAAGTTGGCATCCAGGGGCACCTTGAAGACCGACAGAGTTGAATTCTGGGCAGTGTTCCCTCTAAGCTGAGTGAGTGTGAGCCAGCTCACAGTTTTTTAGCCTCCGGCTGACACATTTTTGCCTTCGCTCAGGAAGGATGGGGCTCTGGAGCAAACTAATTTATGCAGCAGCCAAACCGCTCGCTCACAACTTTAAGGCCAGTAGCTCACAAAGTAGAATTCTTGCTCACAGGACTCCACACCTTAGAGGGAACACTGATTCTGGGTAGAAGCTTCCTTGTGCATGCAACTTTGTCGGTCTTAAAGGTGCCCCTGGACTCCAACTTTGTTCCTTGGGATTCACCACCACTGAAAATGAGAACGATCACTGGCGTAGATGGTTTTTTGAAGAACTCGGGAGTTGAGCACTGGTTCCAGTGTGCTGTCTGGCCATTGAAAGGTTCGCCGGGCCCTGCAGGGATTTGGTTTGGAGAGCCTGTTAGGGACCTTCACTGGGCCTTTCGATTCTGCCAATCAGTCACCCGGGCACAGGGGAAAGGCAGTAAGCATCCCCCTTCCCCATCAATGCCCGTGGTCTCCCAAGGGAGAGCAGCAGTCTTCCATGCGCCCTCTTCCACCCTTACCTGCGTCTCAGAGAGGTTCAGCTGCCGGGCCAGCTCCGTTCTTTCCCGGCCCACGACGTACTGGCAGCGCTGGAATTCCAGCTCCAAACGGTAGAGCTGCTCGGCGGTGAAAGAGGTCCGGGTCCTCTTGGGCCGATCCAGGTCCAAACCTTTGGGAAGGACAATCTCCCGGATGGTCCCTTTGGCATCTAGGGGCAACCACAGAGACAGAGACTTGAGGGGGATGCCAACATCCAGCTGATACCTGGTGAGTGGCCCCCTGGAGATTCTGGTGTTTTGCTCAATAGCTCTTCTGCCGATTTGAAGAAGAAGACGAGGAGGAGGAGGAGGAGATTGGATTTATACCCCACCCTTCACTACCCAAAGGAGTCTCAGAGCGGCTTACAAACTCCTTTCCCTTCCCCTCCCCACAACAGACACCCTGTGAGGTAGGGTGGGCTGAGAGAGCTTTCTCGAGAACTGCCTTTGAGAGAACAGCTCTGAAAGAACTTGTGACTGACCCAAGGTCACACCAGCAGCTGCAAGTGGAGGAGTGGGGAATCAAACCCGGTTCTCCCAGATTAGAGTCCGCGCTCCTAACCACTACACCAAACTGGCTTTTGCTTCCCATTCCATCAAGGCCCGCTTCAGGATTTATTCAGCTGTGATCCACAACTGGACAGAGAAATCCCGAATGCATTTTTTATTCTATCAATTGCATTTTTTGTTCTAAGAACGTACGAAGAGCCATGGTGGATCAAAGGACCATCAAGCCCAGCACTCTGTCCACACAGTGGCCAGCCAGCTACCTCTAGGAAGGCCACAAGCAGGACAACTGCAACAGCATCCTCCCGCCCCCTGTTCCCAAGTTCAACCCCCCAGCACCTCCAGTTAAGAAGGACCAGGCAGGAGGTGATGGGAAAGACCTCCGCCTGAGACCCTGGAGAGCTGTAAAGAGGGGCTGTGGCTCAGTGGTAGAGCCTCTGCTTGGCATGCAGAAGGTCCCAGGTTCAATCCCCGGCATCGCCAGTTAAAAGGACCAGGCAGGAGGTGATGGGAAAGACCTCCGCCTGAGACCCTGGAGAGCTGTAAAGAGGGGCTGTGGCTCAGTGGTAGAGCCTCTGCTTGGCATGCAGAAGGTCCCAGGTTCAATCCCCGGCATCGCCAGTTAAAAGGACCAGGCAGGAGGTGATGGGAAAGACCTCCGCCTGAGACCCTGGAGAGCTGTAAAGAGGGGCTGTGGCTCAGTGGTAGAGCCTCTGCTTGGCATGCAGAAGGTCCCAGGTTCAATCCCCGGCATCGCCAGTTAAAAGGACCAGGCAGGAGGTGATGGGAAAGACCTCCGCCTGAGACCCTGGAGAGCTGTAAAGAGGGGCTGTGGCTCAGTGGTAGAGCCTCTGCTTGGCATGCAGAAGGTCCCAGGTTCAATCCCCGGCATCGCCAGTTAAAAGGACCAGGCAGGAGGTGATGGGAAAGACCTCCGCCTGAGACCCTGGAGAGCTACAACCAGGCTTTGTAGACAACGATGACCTTGATGAACCAACAATCTGATTCAGTAGAAGCCCATATTATGTTCAGCTGTAATTTAGAATTGCCTCGAATCACAAGGGAAAGACAGAACACCAGAATTTTAATAAACAAAGAGATGTTTCAAATACCCAAAGGACCACGTCACCGTATCTCTCTATCTAATTTGTAATAAGGCCGCAAGAACCCTCTTTGATGCTTGGTATTGACCCTGCAACCAAAGCCTACTATATAATGAATTATTATTTCAACAGTTTTTTTACTGCATCTCCAGTCGGACTGAAGACAAGAAGAAGAGATTGGATTTATACCCCGCCCTTTACTGCCCAAAGGAGTGTCAGAGTGGCTGACAATCGCCGTTCCCCTCCCCACAACAGACACCCCTTGAGGTAGGCAAGGCTGAGAGAGCTCTGAGAGAAACTGCCCTTGAGAGAACAGCTCTGAGAGAATTTGTGACTGACCCAAGGCCATACCAGCAGCTGTGTGTGGAGGAGGAGCGGGGAATCAAACCTGGTTCTCCCAGATTAGAGTCCGTGCTCCTAACCACTGCACCAAACTGGCTCTCACACCAACCTAGTGTTTGGTGTGAGAGTGTATCAACGCATACAGAGTTCTCCCCCTCTCCCTGAGCCACAGTGCCAGGGTTGCTGGACTGCAGGATGCTAACGCAAGCATGGGCCTCCACCCCTCTCGCACATGACAAATGTGGCCATTAAGTTGCTTCTGATGGCGACCTGAGTTACAGTGACCCTATGAATTAACGACCTCCAAAGCATTGTCTCGTTAGCAGCCTTGCTCAGGTTTTGCAAACTGAGTCCATCCATCACACAAAATACCCCCAAGCCTGGCCTTTCCTCTTACGTGTTCACTGTCAGGGAAGAGCATGTGTTTACAAGATCTGACAGTTCAGTCATTATAGGGTTAACTTGTTTGCCTAGTATTGCTATGGTTTAGACTGACCTGGAAGGGATACCTGGCAGTAAGCCAATGGGTAATTAGCCCAGGAAAAGTAACTTCTGTTGTGATAAGTGATTGGTTGTTTGGAAGTGGTGGTGGCTACATGGACGGCTTCAAAAGGGAATTAGATAAGCATATGGAGCAGAGGTCCATCAGTGGCTATTAGCCACAAGGTATAGATAGGGACTCTGGGGCAAGTGATGCTCTGTATTCTTGGTGCTGGGGGGGGGGGGCCCACCAGGGGGGGGGGAGGGCTTCCAGTGTCCTGGCCCCACTGGTGGACCTCCTGATGGCACCTAGTATTTCTGGCCACTGTGTGATACAGAGTGTTGGACTGGATGGGCCTTTGGCCTGATCCAACATTGGCATCTCTTATGTTCTTATGTTCCAGGTGACTTCCTTTCTAGGGGTTGAGAAGAAGGCAGATTCTCCATTATCTCTGTGTTAGTGTTGACTATAGACAGCTTAGAAAATGTAGCTGTTAGTGTTATGTTTATTTGTAGTTATCCCGTGTATCTTTTACCCTTAGAAATAAAGGTTTTTAAAAGCAAAGAAATCTCTTCTTTCCAATAGAGCAAGATCCATTGATCTCTTGTGCATCACTATATCTCATTATGCCAAGACGATGTGGGGAAACCAGTGTGGGTTTCCCAAAAAGGTTTCAGGGCTTCAGGTGCTCTCCTCTGATTTGGAAGGCAGCAGCCACACCTGGATTGAAGGGGGACCAGGCAGACGCTTTCCTATGGCAAAGAGCAGCCAGGTGTGCTGGGTGTGAGAACTCTCCTGTAAGGTGAAGAGACACCTAGTGGCTGATGCCGCACAATGCAACTCTGTTGTGTTCAAATGGGTGGGAAATCCTTCATAGGACAAGACAGGAAGGTTTTCACACAAGGGCTCTGGTAGCCTCACCTGCATAAAATATACCGGCAAATAAAGGTCAATGGCCCAGGCATCATGCACTTCCCATAGATTTATATCTCAATGACCAACAGGACAGCTAGGGTCTTGCAGAATCAGAACAGACTAATTTTTTAAAAAAATCTTTGTGGTGCGTTTAGGATTGGTGAAGAATCCAGGGAAACATTTTGCAATGCAATATTGCTTTATAAAATATTTGCACAAATTCTAACAGCAAAAAGGCAAGTCCTGGGACCAGGGGTCATTTTGTAGGAAAAAAGGTGCAGGAGCTCATTAGCATAACTCATTAGCATAGCTTATTTGCATATGCCACACCCCCAGACATCACCAGACGTGTGTCAGAAGGCAACACCCACCACTCAGGTTCCACTGGACTGTTTTGGATTGCTAGCTATTTGGGAGGGGGGGGAACGTGCAGATCTGCCCTCGCAGAGGAGGAAGAGCTTCTACCTGAATAAAAGTTGGTCTTAAAGGTGCCACTGGACTGTTTTGGACTGCTAGTTATGGAGGGGGGAATGTGCAGATCTGCCCTCACAGAGGAGGGAGAGCTTGTACCTGAAGGCGGGGGGGGGGCTCTGCAACTTACCTGGTTGCTTCTTGCTCCTCGTGGCCCAACTGAGAACTGCTGGGAGCAGGGGGCGGGGCTTGTTGCATGCGCCCACCCCCTGGGCTCCTTACTGTCGGAGCTCTGCTCCTGTGCGCTCCCACAGGAAATGACCCCTGCCTGGGACACCCAACTGGCCGACATGATGTTTTTGCAGAGGTTTTAATGATGGCATTATGTTTAATTTATTGTTTATATGTATTGTAACCCACCCTGAGTCTGCCATGGGAGGGTTAGAAGTCAAATAAATAAATAAATTAATAATAAACAATAGCATTACAATGAATCCATTATGGTCTAATTCAGGGTCCCTAAGGTGGTATGTTTGGGCTCCATAGCTCAAGCCAACAGTTTTTCTGGCACCCACCAAGTGTTTTTAGAAAGCAGGTGGGCCGAGGTAGGGCTTTTGCTAGAGGAGGAGGACAGTTGGATTTATACCCCATCCTTCACTCGGAGTCTCAGAGCAGTTTACAATCTCCTTCCCTTCCTCTTCCCACAACAGACACCCTGTGAGGTAGGTAGGGCTGAGAGAGCTCGTTCAAGAACTGCTTTTGAGAGAACAGCTCTGAGAGAACTTGTGACTGACCCAAGGTCACACCAGCAGCTGCATGTGGAGGAGTGGGGAATCAACCCCAGTTCTCCCAGATTAGAGTATGCACTCCTAACCACTACACCAAACTGGCTCCTGCTCCCAAACTGGCTTCCACCAAACTGGAACGAAGAAGGAGGAGGAGGAGGAGGAGGAGGAAGAGATTGGATTTATACCCTGCCCTTCACTTGGAGTCTCAGAGCAGCTTACGATATCCTTCCCTTCCTCTCCACACAATGGACACCCTGTGAGGTAGGTGGGTCTGAGAGAGCTCTTTCAGGGACTCATCTTGAGAGAACAGCTCTGAGAGAACTTGTGACTGACCCAAGGTCACCCCCAGCTGGCTGCAAGTGGAGGAGTAGGGAATCAAACCTGGTTCTCCCAGATTAGAGTTCACCGCTCTTAACCACTATACCAAAAAGACTTCTGATTGACTAGATTTGATAGGCTGTGCAGATTTTTTTTAAAAAAATGTTGCTTTGACAGCAGCTGCCACCACAGCACAAGGATCACCACAGTCAAACTGAAGGTAAGCTGGGGCAATCCTTTTGTGCCTGGCTCGACCACCTGCGGCAGCCATTTTGTGGCAGCCATTTTGTTTCTGCGCCCACCAT